GAAAAGGCAAGTTGTAGAAAGTGTATGTAAAATGATCCTAACTTTTTAAAACACACACACACACATATACACACACAGATAAATCTGGGAGACCATGTAGCCACTGTTAACATGGAAGGTGAGTTTGTTGTTGTTGTTGTTGTTATGTGCCGTCGAGTCGGCCCCGACTCATAGCGACCCCTTCTTGGGTTTCCGAGGCAGTATCACTACGGAAGTAGGATTGCCCAACCTTCCTTCCGAGGAGTGGCTGGTGGATTTGAACCGCCAGCCGTCTGGTTAGCAGGCAAGTGTCTTAGCCACTATGCTACCAGAGGAAGGTGAGTTTAGTGACTTTCAATTTTTTCTTTAAATATCTGTATTATTTTTTCACACATTTTCCTATGAAAATTTTCAAACATACAGAAAAGTTGCAAGAAGTACTCAATGAACACCCAATACACACTACCTAGATTCTATATTTAACATTTTGCTCTATTTGTTTAATCACATATGTGTCCATTAATCCATTTCTCTATCATCCATCAATCCATTGTATCATCTATATTATTAAAAATGAAAAAGAAAAGGGGTATGCATTTAGTAACCAGAAAAACAATCAATAAAGATTAACAGTGTCATATCTGGAAGGCACTTATCCTAAAACATTTTAAGGAAATGGGTAGCTGAGATTTGGGAACACTGTCACATCAATCAGTTGAGGTCAATCTATAAGCATGTAAGCGATGAACTCATCCAAAACCATAATGCAATCAAGACAGTCTGCACCTTGTCTGAAAACAACCACAGTAACAGTGTCTTCATAGACTGTCAAAGCAGGGATCTCGGAACCACAAATTGTATTTATTGCAGTTTTTACCAGTAAAGTCCTGAATCATGGTATCCACTATTGGGAAGCAATAAGGACATGGTTTAGAAGCAGACAGTCCTCGACTAACCTGACCTGGTCTCTGGTAGCTTAACCTCTCTATTTCTGCATATGGGAAGGTGTGGTGTTAGAAAGCTTGGTGCAAAAATTAAATTTAGGGGTAGTAACAATCAAGGTACACTGGGGTTGGTCACAGTAGGCCATATACACCACGCTAAGGAATTGGGATTTTGTCCAGAAGACAACAGGCAGTTGCTGAGGGGTTTTAAGCAGGAGAGTGACACCTTGAGATTTATATTCTAGAAACTACTCTGGCAGTGTGGACAAACAGAGGCATTTTTGTTATTATTTATTTGATAATGATTTGGATGAAAGTTTACAAATTCCTTTTCCATTCAACAGTTCATATGCATTTTGCTTGATGACATTGATTGCAATCTTCTCAATGTAGCAGCTCCCTCCCTGTGGTTACCTGTTCCCTGTGTCCTTCTTTTCTATGCATTCCTGCCCTCTGAGCTGTCTCCCAGTGCAAACAGCTGCCCTTCTGATCTCCTACGGGTGACTGTTCTATCTAGGTGTGACAGGATAGCAGCATAGGGAGTACAGCAAAAGTCCGGGTGAGACATCATGTCGGCCTGAACCAAGGCAGAAGCAAGGGAGAAGGATGTGTCTGACAGACTGTGAAGCGGGATGCACAGAACTGCATATGGATGATGAAAGAGAAGGCAGGGTGCCTGGCTTCTAAGTGAATGGTGGTACCATAGAAACTTACTGTGTCCAGAACTGAGTTCCTGATTTCCCCTGCTTGTTCATGGCAACTCCATTTCTGTAGCTGCCCAGAGCAATTAATCTGGGAGTCTTTTACTTCTTTCTTTTTTCATCTTACACATCTGAATCACTAGCATATCTTGTTGCTACCTTTAGAATTCACGTAGAATCAGGCCCTTTTACTACTTCACGTGAAATTTCACTGCTTTTTTAGTGTTTTTACTGCTAACACCCCAACCACTATCTTCTCTTGCCTGGGTATTTCAATAACCTCCTAAGTGGTCCTCCCACTTCCACCCTTGTCCTCCTATATTCTGCTCAATACTCTGAGGACCTATATTTCACTCATGTTGTTGTTATATGTTGTCAACTTGGACCTGACTCATAGCGACCCCCCTTGGGTTTCCAAGGCAGTATCACTACGGAAGTAGATTGCCCAACCTTCCTTCTGAGGAGTGGCTGGTGCGTTTGAACTGTGAGCCTTCTGGTTAGCAGTCAAGTGCCTTACGCACTATGCTACCAGAACTCCCCTATTTTACTCAGAGTAAAACCCAAAGTGCTCATCACAGCTTAAAAGGTCCTGTATGAGCTGGGGCCCAGGTATTTCTCAGACCACCTCTCTTATTGCGCAGTCTGCTCTAGCCCTGCTGGCCAATTTGTGGTTTGGAACACGCCAAGCGCATTCCTGCCACAGGGCCTTTGCCCTTGCTGTCGGCCTGGATGGTTTTCCCCAGGTATCTGTGTGACTGGCTTTTTTCTCACTCCATTAGGTTCTTAGCTCACATGTCCCAGTATGGGAGGGTTTCCTAGCCCCCTATTCCCTACTGGTCACTCTTTTCCTGACCTCCTCTGTTATTCTCTAACACAGTACATATTTGTTTAAAAAGACTATTCTGTGTGTTTTATAATGATCCCAAATCATGTAAGATGTAAGTCACTATTATACTTTTAAAATCGATATATGATAGTGTGAACTTAGCAATATGTGTACCTTTATGAGGCTCTCTAACATAAGTTATTAGAAACCTGTCACCATAAACGTATTTAGGGGGAAAATATGTGTATAAATATATATATACATAAGGGTAGGAGGGAGGGGGAAAGGAGAAGCTTTTGTTTGCCGGGCACTGAGTCTATGCTAATGGTGGTAGAATATTTTGGAAAAGGATAGCAGTAATGGTGGGACCACAAGAAAAATATCATCAATGTCCCTGAGCTGTAAATGTGGAGGTTGTTATGCTGGTGAATGTCTTGTTATGTAGGTTTTGACAATAAAAGTAAAAATAATAATAAAAAAAAGTTATTTAGAAGATTTCTGAACTTAGACATAGAAGCATATGAATTATGTGAAGAAGAGAAACAACCTTTAAGTTCGCTCTGACCTGGCACGCTGTGACAAAAACAAAACATAGTCATGTTTTGAAAATTAGCCTTGAGACATAAGGCTGAACAGCCTCCCTAATCTCTACCCTTGAAGAGAATATGCAACATTTAGCATCTGATCTCTAACCCTGGAGAGAAGACATAACATACTAGTCTTTAATGTCACAGTAGCCCTTATTATGTGAGGCCAAGGTATGAATTTCACATATAAACCCTGAATTTCTGCTCACTCACTGACAGAAGGCAAAGGCAAAATGATCTTTCCCTAGTCTCTCACTCTCTCTGAACACCAAAGAGCCAGGTGAAACTCTGCCTGCTGCTGCTGACCCTGGTCCCTAGCTACAAAGGATCTCTGCGGAGTTCAAGTCATGGTCAAACCTTCCTCCCAAGATCTTTGGTTAAATGTAAATGTCTAAAACATAAAGATCTGGCCTCTAACCACTGCACTAGCACTGTAATTGTAATAGTTAATTCTGATTCTCTGGTTCTAAATGGACATTGTAAGGTGCTATTCGTGGGCCTTGCCATGGCTACCTTGTAGCACACTAAATGAGCTTACACATGTCAAACCTGGGTATCTCTCTATTAACTTCTAAGATTAAATCCTACACAACAGAGCCAGGACGTTGTCGTTTTGGTCACTGCTGTATCCCCAGCACCTAGAAAAACACATGGCATTACAGCCAGCATTCAAAAACACTTGTTGAATGAATGAATAAATACAAAAGGAAGAGGTTTAGGAAGAAAAATGAAAGTTCAGCTCTGAACATGTTCAGTTTGAAGCATCCATGGGACATTGAGGTACAGCCATGTGGAAGTTCACTTATGGGCCCAGAAAATAATTTAAATAATAATACTGGTGATATCATTAAACAAACAACAAAAACATTTTTTAGACAATCGTGTTCCAGGCACTGTGCTGAGCACATAACACTTTTCACCCTCACAGCTGCTTGGCAAATGATGTATTCAAATTACCTCCAGTGAGGGAAAAAAAGCTGCTTGGAGGTTCAGAATTAGGAAACGTTAGATACATCAGTTCTCATCATTTGTAGTAGTTATGTTTTATAAGAGGAGCCCTGGTGGTACAGTGGTTAAGCACTCTACTACTAACTGAAAGGTTGATGGCTTAACCCACCAGCCATCCCACAGGAGAAAAGATGTAGCAATCTGCTCCATAAAGACTGTAGCCTAGGAAACCCTATGAGGCAGTCCTACTCTGTCCTAGAGGGTTGCTAGAGTCACAATCAACTCCACGCCCCACATCACCACAGCATGTTTTATAAAGTCACTGCAAACACTGAATTAGTGAACACTAAAACACTGCTCTAAGGGATACAAGGTTAGGTTCCTGCAAAGTCTCCAGCCATAACAGTTATGTAGCTGATCAATACGTACCCTTGTTTTATGTGTGCTTCTATTTAAAGATACTATTGTTGATCCATTACATATTGAACTCATGGCCAACAGCACTATAACTCATGCCTGAATGAAGTTTATCTAACTCATGTGTTTTCTCTGTAAGATGTATCAGAGCCTTGTGTGCTTAGGAACATTAGACAGCACTTCAGCATTATACCTGGGGGTCATTTTAGAGAGTGAAGTCAACAAGAAAAGCACAAAAATGAGAAAAACATGATGCTAAACACTGGCAAATGGACACTTGTTTACTGTACGGGAGCTAGAACAAACAGGCAAGCATTGCCTAGGTCAACCTCGCCTGGGAACCCATGCAATGGAGATTCAAACTTTCCACTGTTTTGCACATGTTCGTGAAATGATAGTGACAGCACTGTGAGCATCGCTTTTGGGGTTACAAATAACTTTTAGTGAGCAGGCAGATTCACAAATTTGGCATCCGCGAATAATGAGGTTTGACTCTCTCTGTTTAGTAGAGACCCAGAGAGAGTGCTGACACAGGAGAAGGACTGGGCTGCCTGCAAGTCCTTCTCCCTGTCAGTCCTTTGTCCTGTGTTCCTCTCACCTTCATGTACTTGTTGAAGACAGTCTGGATCTCCTCATTGATGCTAGGCTGCAGGACAGCACGGAGGAGGTCCATGGAAATGGCAGGATCTGTGAAACTGCATTCAGGAGGGGGACACAATCAGGGGGTATGCAGATGACAATCAACAGAAATCAAATCTCTACGTTCCACTCGGTTCATTTCTGACACTGGCTGCCCATGCATCATGTATTCCTCTGACCTAGCCACCTGGAGCTAGGTCAGCCTCACAAGTTAAAGGGATACCATCTTTCAGATTGCTAAATAGGTAGACAACAGCTGCAAGTTTGGGAGTTCTCATGACACACTCACTTCTAAACTGTTGGCTACAAATTCTGGATTTTCCTCTACACCTTCAGAATTCTAGCCACAAGCCTGGGAGTCCCTGCTGGGCTCCCACTACTCTGGGTTTGATAATTCACTGGGATGACTCACAGAACTCACTTATGATTACAGCTTTATTATAGCAAAAAAGGTATGAATGAAGAGATACATAGGACAAAGTCTGGAAGGGTTTCCAGCATAGAGCTAAGTGCCAAAGGACACACTACCCTCCCATGTGCACTGATGTCTTATACCAACAAGGAAGCCCATGGAGCTTCTATATCCAGAATTTCTGCTGGGGGTCTCATTACGTCAATATACTCCAGCCCCTCTTCCCTGAGATCAGTCGCTGTCACAAGATCATAATGAGGCATCACAAGATGGGGGTCTCTGGCCTGGCTAGCTCCCACCCCATAGTCACCTCTGGCATAACCTGTCAACTATGGAGTCCTTATCATGGGCGCGTAAACCACTGGGCTAATTCCAACTTTTTTTTTTTTTTTTGAGGAATTCTCTTAGGAGTAGTGCAGTGGTTAAGTGCTTGGCTGCTACCCGAAATGCTGGTAGTTTGAATCCCCCAGCTGCTCCATGGGAGAAAAATGTGGCATGGGGCAGTTTTACTCTGTCCTATAGGACTGCTGCAAGTTGTAATCAACATCATGGTTTTATCTTTTACATTTTACATTTTCTCTCAGGAATCTAGTACAAAGACCAATTTTTTTGGGGTACTTAATGTAAATCTTGTAGGGGGCATGTCCCAAGCACATTTTCCCAGTCTGCCCCACTAATTACTGATACAGGATCCTTTAACAGTAACAGATATATTTAATAGAGAAAAAAATGTGCCCAGGTTCTGTGCAAACCACATGACTTTATTTCATTCTCATCATAATCATTTTATGAAATATAATATACAGAAAGGGCCATATGCTTTAATAAAATAATTATAAAGTGAACACCCATCTAATCATTACCCAGGTCAAGAGCTATAACAGCACTGAAAAAGCACATCTGCTGCTGGATCTCTTCTCTCAGACGGATACAATTAGCCCCACTTTACTGCTGAGAAAAATAGGGGCTCAGAGAAGTTAAGTGGGATGTCAAGGTCACCAGCTAATAAATGTCAGAGTCTGCATTAGAACCCATGTCTGACTCCAGGTCTCAACCTCCACGCTATCCTGCCTCTTTAGAGACCACACCACAGAGATGCCAATGTCAGGGTTCATGGGCATTGTTTAATCCACTCCCTCTCATTTTGCATGTGAGTTGAGAGGGGGACATGACTTGCTCAAGGTCACACAAAGGGCAGGTCTCCTCTTTCCCAGTCCAGGGCTCCTTCCACCCTGGATCTCAACTCAGCCTGAAGCAGTAAGGGCTCCAAAGCTGTCATCTTAGCCAGGGCTCGGGAGGTTAGTCCACCCAGAGACCAGCCTTACCTTGTTGTCATCTGCGAACGGCGGCCCCTTCGCTGCACCTGTCGGTGCTTTATCATGATGTTCCAAGGGTTCTGTGGGGACCAGGGGAGCAGATGTCACTGAGGCCCGTGACACTGGGGTGAGGGTGCCAGGGTGAGTATGAAGTTAAACCTAGACATCCCTGTTTCTCACATCCCTTCACCGCCTCTCGCACCTTGTGGTAGAAGTGGGGCAGCGGTTGGAAGGAACCTGCTGAGAGGAACCGAGGAAAAGTTTCCTGCGTCAAAAGTCCCACCCCCAGCTTTTCTGGGACGTCAGGAAGAAGGGTTTACGGAGGGCCTCCGCTAGGGGCAGGTGATGCGCTGGGCGCTTCACCCGCATTGATTATCGCAGTTCCACAGCTCTCTGAGGCAAAGACTAGACATCTCCACTGAGAACAGCAAACTGGAGCTTAGAGGGTTTACAGGGCTGGCCCTTGTCACCTCGCTGGGAAGGCAGCACCAGAATCTGAATCCAGGTCTACCGGCTGCGAAAACACCAACCCCCTCGGCAGCACCGGCCGCCGCGTTCTCTCGCCCGCGGGTTAGTGACCCGGGAGCCCGAGGCCCTGTCGGCCCGAGCCCAGCCCGGCTCTGGCCTTGCCGGGGGCGCCCTCACCGTGAGAACCAGCTGCCCCGCTGCGCCCGCATCCCCCGGCTCGGGGCCTCCCCGCTCTGCCCCGCCAGGCCCCCGCGGCTGCTCGGCGTCACCAGTGGCCCCCATGGCGCCCCCAGCCCACACAACCTCAGCCCGACAGTGCCACCGGCCGGAAGGTGGCTCCGTGACGTCATTGGGACGCGCCGCTAGCTGGCCCGGAAGCGCGACAGGGAGAGTTAGGGAGTTGCCATGGGAACCAAACCGCCGCCTCTGCCCCGGGTCTGGTCCACTGATGGAGGACTTGTGTGTAGTGGTGGCTGGGGGTTCCTCCGGGGCTGCCCCTCGGTGTGGACAGTGGGTCTGTGCAGAGCTTAGAGTGGACGTTCAGTCAAGAGCCGTTCTCTAGATGGGCCAAGTAACGTGGCATCAGGATTGGCGGAAGGCTCATTAACAACCTGTGATACACAGATGACACAACTTTGCTTGCTGAAAGTAAGGATGACTTGAAGCACTTACTGATGAAGATTGAAGACTATAGTCTGCAGTATGGATTACACCTCAATATAAAGAAAAAACTCCTCACAACTGGACCAATAAGCAGCATCACGATAAATGGAGAAAAGATTGAAGTTGTCAAAGACTTCATGTTACTTGGTTCTACAATTAACTGGTATGGGAAGGCCGGGAACTGGTGGCAGATGGCTTTTTGGAGGGCCAGAACTGGTAGAGTAAGGCTGGGAGGAGGCACAGGTGGTATTTTGGAGGGCCAGACCTGGTAGGGAAGGCTGGGAAGTG